GGTTCAACTTTCATTTTGGAACAATTTTTCAAGCAAGGGAAGGGAATGATCTGAGCATGCAGGAGGACTGGCCCATCATAAACCTTTGTCGGCTGTGCTGAAGAGAAAGGTACAGAACCACATTATTTAATTAATTAGCTGCACGTTCTCATGTCCTCTGTCCTCCGGGCCACACACACACACACACACACACACACACACACACATACACACACACACACACACACACACACACACACACACACACGGGACTGTCTCAGCTGTTATTTTCGTTAAGGAGTGTGCACGTACAGCATGCGCGCCCCGTGCTCGAGCCTACTATTGAAGCTGCCGTTACGCTTTTGGCCTGAGGGGCGATCACGAGCATAAAAATTCAAAAGTCCGTTAAGTCCCTTTAAATAAAGTTGAGTGAGTTAAATTTTATTAGGTCAAATATTATCGTCTAAAATTTGTTAAACAAACTTCGATCTGCCACGCAGTTTTTTATTTAAATACTTCAAAAGTAAACACTCACATTCAAGCAACAAGGTTTAGTGGAACCATCCACATGACTAAATTCAACCTTTCATTTCTTAGAGTGTTTGGAACAAAATCTCTCGTAAAGGTTATAAAGAGGAACTTTTTGCATTTCTGGGCCACTTTAATGCCTTCCCTCTTTCCTTCCCTTTAGTTTAGCTTTTTTCTCCAATGACATCGTGTCTGGGCTCCCAGCTGTCATCCTGGAAGTTTTCCAGTTAATGAATATTTAGTGGCTCACATTAGCATATTGTTCAGGATATTTGTGACACAAATATCAGCTGCTGAGGAACAGCTGAATCAGAGGGCACACAGAGCGAGTGGGCAGAAGGGCCCGAGGAGACAGCAGGGCAGCATTCATTACACTCATGAGCAGAACGGGGCAGAAAGAAGCAGGAAGTCCTGACAGAAGGATGGCAGCAAAGGAGAACTTCCTACACGCACGCTTACCGCTCAGCTTAGTCAGAATAACCACCTCCTTTTACCCTTTTCATTTAGTGAAGAAGAGCTTCTGTTCATTCGGACTTGGACCAATCACAGCCCACTAATGACAACAATGCTAGCTTTTATAAATGAATAAAAAATGGCGGAACCATGGGAGGAGCACAGTTACATCCCGGTTTTGTTGCGCCGTTTAAAGCCAGCCGTGCACGCGACGCTGCATTTCCTGCTTGTTCTACAGCTTTGCTTCCATTCCAGAGCTTTCCTCATCGTGTGCTGCCAACCTGAGCTCTTCTGTACGCCCCGAGCAGAACAGCTCCCTCAGCTGAAATGAAGCTTCAGACGACCTTCAGGGACTCCACAAAGTGCAGGCTCACCGAAACCACTAAACTGTTTGCCCCCTTGTGACCTTCTGTTGGACAAACAGTCAACAGTCTGAAAAAACTGCAGCCGTGCGAATGTTTCTGCAGCCAACACAGAACAAAGTCTGATACTTCCCATTGTTATTTTCCTTGTCGGGTCTTCTGCTTTGCTCAGATGACACTTTGAGAACCTAAACTATGTCTGTTTGGGAGAGAGGACGCTTCACGCTGCAGCTTTTCCAGACAGCCACACTTGTTCGGTTTTTTCTAATTGTCCTGTCATGAATTTTCACAGTTTACATGTTAAACGCAGCCTGTAGAGGTTCTGAGTGTTGCACCAGTGGGGTGAAGTTTCCGGGACATCCAGTCCTGGGAATTTCGACAGTATTTGGCAGTGTGGTTTTATTTATTTTTTTTCTATTGAAAGTTTTATTGTCTGCAGCAGGAGCTGTGTGTGATCCGTGCTTCTGAGAAAAAGTGTGAGATAGGAAGGAAGACGTAGCCTCTAATTTATTAATCCAGGGGTAAGAGAGCCGCACGGACATCTGTGTGTTGCTGCCCCCTGCTGCTCCTCCTCTGTACAATGATCTTCACCATGAAGACGCCATGTTTACCTTGTTGTCTCTTGTCTCATCTCCATGCAGGTGCGTCTCCAGAAAATTTTGTTAGAGGTGGCCAGACCCAGAAAATGTTGTTAGGGGTGGCCAGACGACGCCAGAGAAAATTTTGGGGTGGTACATCAAACTGGTTGTTGTGGTGACTGTGGAAGAGGTCAGCCTGTGGCGATGTTTTGCATTGCTCCTTTATTTGTTTTCATTGGAAAAATCACATTTAACTTAAATTTTACAAAGACAAACATTTCAGAAAAATACATTTCAGTTATTTAAAATATTATTTTAAAATGTATTTTTTTAGTTTAATTCATCAGTTGCTGTGTTCTCCTCACCTGCACACACACACACACACACACACACACACACACACACACACACACACACACACACACACACACACACACACACACACACACACACACACACACACACACACACACACAGCTTTTCTCCCTAAAACTGTGAGACTGTCTTTGTCTAATTTAAGAAGAGTATGTTCATGTAAAATATTTTCATCCTGTGAAACTCTTTCAGGTGTGATCCCGGATGAGTGTGTGCCTTGGGTTTAATCTCAGGGTTAAAGTCATTTTTGTTAAGGCGAGGGAACAAAATGAAAATGAAAAGGTTTTCTTTTGTGTAAACAAACAACTTTAATAACAAATAAATAAAACTTTACTTTGTAAATGAGTAAAATAAAATTAATGGACACAGCCACTTCTGTTGCTGGCTAAAGGCTAATGTGTGCAACAGTTACACGGCCATGTGGTAACTCGGCAGGTGTCCCGGCTGAACAGAACGTTCTGTAATGAAAAATCCAAATACTAATACGCGTCTCGTTACGTCTTTACCTTTTTGATCCGGTGATCTGTTTTCCACAGCAGACAGACCGAGGACAGCACCAGCACCAACAGCAGCAGCTGTAAAAAGTCAGCAGTTACAACGTGAAAAATATGGAGATTCAAATAAAAAAATTAAAAGTATAAACTGTGTTTAATTTCTTAAAGATTTGTCAGAATTCATCGAAAAACAGATTTTGTCTCAAAGAAAAATTGTTACCTCTAGAAATTCACATCAGTATTTGCATTTTAAGCTTTAATCTCGTATGATGAGAATGAAATGTATTTATGAGAAAGTATTATTTAATCAGAACATAAAATCAAAAGAAGAATATCTCCTTAAATTTTCTTTTTACCAATTTCTGTCTGCTGAGTGTTCACCCTAAAGAGTGATGCCTACAGCTGTTAGAAACACAAAATAAAATCGGTCATAACCTGCAGAAAATGCAAAAATTCTGATGGTAAAGAGATGTTTTATTTTATATGAATGCCTCGAATTCTGGGATCTAAGCTTAATTTTAAGATTGCGATCGAAACAAGACACATTCCCCAGGTTTAGACAAGTCGTTGGTGGGAATCAGAAGGTCTGACCAAACTGCCAGGTTTGGTTTTAGAGGGTAAAAGTAAAACCCGGACGATTTAAGTTCATCCTCCACATCCTTTTCTACTTGAGGACTTGTCGTGTCAGCCCATCCCGCTGGACCAAGGGAAGACGAAACTTCTGAGTGCCTGAAACTTCAGTTTGCAGCAACAACCCTAAGAAGTGTGTGATGTTCTGCATCGGTTCTGTGGTGGAGCACGTTGCTACACAGACGAGGTGTGAAGATTACATCCAGCTGGCACTCGAGTTCAGATAAATAAAAACCAGAGGAGTCATCGGTTTTAACTCTATGAGTATTCGTCCTTTTCCTCCTGGCCTACAGCCTCAGCCTGAAACTCCTGGCTCCTATAAGGCTTTAAATAATCATCAACACATTTACGTTCATACAGCTCTAGCCAAGGAAGCTCAAGGTGCTGCACAAGATAAAGTCTAACTACAAAAATCACAATAAAAGACAAAAGAATCAGCATCAAAGCTAAAACGAGGTCTTTCTGGCAACAAGATGTAAAGTGTAGCTTGTTGTCTTGATCCAGGAAGGAAGGCAGGGCGACTCTATATTTCACATCGTTTGCTTTTACTCTTCTTGAAACAGCAGAAGCATTGTTCACGCCTGACAAGCTCAACTTTTTGTTGTGTCCAGAGGAAGGCGCTGTTGCTCTTTCCTAAGGACATTTTCCACATTTGATCTGAGTCCCAAGAGCCATTCAAAAAACTTATTCCTATTTTTATCAGACAACATTCTCTCATCTTGTTCCTGGATAACGGGATATGGACAGTTTCTGGAATGCTCCCATTCTCACTGTACCTTACCTTAATCAGGTCCAAACCCTTCAGTCCACCATTTCTCTCTTCTCTTCCTCATCCTAATCCCAACCTCCTCAACTCTTCATCCCAGTCTTCAGTCTGACCCCCCCCCCCCCCCCCCCCCATTCCCTCCTACCGCGTAAATGTAAAATGTGGTGGTGGTCGGAGGGACCGGTGGTGCCCGTGCTCAGCAGCCTCGCCTCTGTCAGTGCGCCTCAGGGCAGCTGTGGCTACATCGTAGCTCATCCCCACCAGTGTGTTAATGTGTGTGTGTGAATGGGTGAATGACTTGTTGTGTTGTAAAGCGCCTTGGGGGGTTCCAGGACTTTAGAAGGAGCTATATCAAATACAGGCCATTTACCATTATAGCAGAAGCTAAAAATCCGACCAAGGCGATCCAAAATATACTTGGATGTTTATGACCTATTATACTTCCTCGACTCCCTCCTTTTTTTTAACACTCCGCAAACCTACCTCACACATACACACGAGTGTCAAATCCTCAGGATTTGTAGAAATTTAGCAAAACACCCAAGATGAGACTTGATAACCCCCCTTAGCGTGTTCTCATGGTGCCGACTTGTCATACAAGCGGTTAGTGGCCTTTATGCGTTTATTTATTCAGGCATACATTTCCATGATAGAGGGATGTGGCTAGAATCTAAAGAAGCTAAAGTCTTTTGCTAAATTTTCCCACACTTTCATAAATTACACTCTTTGTGAAGCTAAATAGCATTTTTTTCACGTAAATCTACCCTTTGTAATTTGTGTGACAATCCCAAGCTACCAGAAAATATGACCCAACAGGGATAAACCAGCAACATCATTAAAATTTATCTTTTATATTTTATTTTTTGTTGGTTGGAGGAAAACAAACTCAAACTGTGATGTTTATCAACTTTACACACATTAAATAAAACATTAAAACGTATAAATCTTGTAAGAAAAAGACAAGCAGAATTTTAATGATGAAATGTTAGCAGCTAACAGCTAACAGAGCTAATTAGCACAACAGCATTCTGCAGCATGTCTGAACTTACAGTAGCTCCCTCCAGCACTAACATGAACTGCAGGAAAGGAACAGTCAGGGCAAAATTATGTTTATCAATTAAAACAAGCAACAAAAGTCACTGATGGAAGAAGTAAAGAGACATGATTTCTCGTGGGGTTGGGCTATAAAGCTGAGACGGACGTTTTCAGAAAGATAACGTTGAGAAATAAAGAAAATCTTCCACGTTTGAAGCTATAAAACAATCTTATAATTGTATAAGACTGTATGACACACTGTATAGAAAACATGTCCCATTGTAAATACAATTCAGCTGATCACTTCACAAATCCAGCTATAAAGGTCAGAATGTTTGTAAAAGTTCTGTTTTAAACTGGAGTCCAACATTAGAATATGTTAAATGGAAAGTTGTGATGGTTTGGAGTTTAGCTCTGAGCCATCAGTGACTGAGAAAGACTGCTAAGAGAAGAGATTCCCCCCAAGGTTCTCCAAAGCGAAGATCACTGACTGCTGCGTACTGAAGGGAAGATAGTAACCAGATAGAAAGCAGATAGTTACTAGTGTAAAGGATGGGTCGTTTACATCAAACTTATGAACCATAAAATGTGAGATTCCATAGAAATATGAAATATCAATCTGATGGATCTTTGACTATTTTAACCAGAAGATCAGAACTTTTTATTGCAGGGATTAAGCGACACTTCGTATTAACTCCGAGGAAAGAAAGAGAGTCAGGTTTAAAATAGTTAAGAAATTTATTTCTACACAATTTAAACGACTAACTTTAAACACTCGGTGTACTGATGGACGAAGGTGGAGTGAGACGTGATGAACGATGGTGGTGTGTGTGTGGAATGTTGTTATCAGAACCAGCGGATCCGGAGAAGCAGTTAGTTCTGAGTGGGAGTGAATGTTTCGCTCTAAGCTTTAGTCGGAGATTTATAACACACATGAAACGCCATCTGTCAGTCTACGTACCCCAGGGGAAGCCTCCGTTAGATCCAGAATGCCGAGGTCATCTTGGACCCTCCTTGGTACCGAAGCCGGTAGAAAAGCAGCGGTGCCGACCAGACTAGTCTTGGAATGCTTCCAGGTCACGACAGGTTATCACTGGCGTCTCCGAGACCCTGAAGGGGTCGTGAGGTTCAGCTTTTATTCTGAAGGAACCGTTGTGGTCAGGTGTAACCAGCTTGTCGAGGTTCTTTTGGCTGAAGAGGAAGTCCGGATGGCCGGTCCGAGACTTCTCTAGAACGCTTGAACTAAAGAAAAGGTGGCGTGGAATAGTTTTTATAATTGTCATATTTTGGTTTACTGGCAAATCAGAACTTGACATGAAAAAGAGGGTTCATACAAACACCACAGAAAACCACGCCTAGCCAGAAACGAAGGTTCTGATTGGATCAGACAAAAGGAAATGTGTCATGTGACTTTAGCATTACGTGTCTTTAGTGTCTAGTGCAAATGTCCAGGATTATAATAACTTGTAAAATACTACTGATCACAGGATTATAATATCAAGTAATAACATTGTCATTCCACAGATTGATTGAACATTGAGCTCACATTATTATTGGTAATAACAAAGTTATTGATTATGTGTTTATCACAAGAGTTCTTCGTCTTCGCTGTAACAGCGGTGAAGCAGTTCAGATGAGCAGAGTGCATGAAAGACCTTGGCCACTATCTCATGTAGATTAGGCTGTCAGAGACTATGATCTTTAGGTCATAAACAGGACATTCATGACGCTACACTAGATAGTAACAAGACAGTAACTAAATAGTAACCAGATAGTATCTAGATAGGAACCAGATAGTAACCAGATAGGAACCAGATACTAACCAGATATTAATGGTAAATGGTGAATGGCCTGTATTTGATATAGCGCCTTCTAGGGTCCTGGAACCCCCCAAGGCGCTTTACAACACAACCAGTCATTCACCCATTCACACACACATTCACACACTGGTGGAGATGAGCTACGATGTAGCCACAGCTGCCCTGGGGCGCACTGACAGAGGCGAGGCTGCCGAGCACTGGCGCCACCGGTCCCTCTGACCACCACCAGCAGGCAACGTGGGTTAAGTGTCTTGCCCAAGGACACAACGACAGCGACAGACTGAGCGGGGCTCGAACCTGCAACCTTCCGATTACGGGGCGAGCTCTTAACTCCTGTGCCACCATCGCCCCAGACAGTAACCAGATAGTAACCAGATAGTAACCAGATAGTAACCAGATAGTAACCAGACGGTGAAAGATTCAGCTTGAAGTTCTCCTAAATCTGACTACAACACTTTTCATTACAGAAGCAGAGGTTGACAAACCTGGAGCGGACTTGGTTAGGGCGACAGTGACTCATGGTTTGGCAGGTCTTCTGTAATTGGAGAGTTGCCGGTTCAAACCCAGGCTCTATCTGTGTCACTTGTGATTTTTGGAATTGCCTGCTGGTGCTGGTCAGAGGGACCAGTGGCCTGCCCCAAGGCAGCTCAGGCTACAATCACCATCAGCTTGTATGTGAGTGGGTGAATGACTGACTATGGTGTAAAGCACTTTGGAGTCCTCTGACTTGCATAAATATCACCAAACATCTACGTGGTGTAATAACGGACGAACGCATCCCAGAAGCGTAGTGTCGCACCACTACTGTAAGTTTTTGCCCCAGATTGTTTTTATGAGCTACGCCTCCAGAACAAGTCAAACTCAGCAGTTCAAACTGAGCCAGACAGGAATTCAAAAACAGAAACTGTAAAAACAATGACAAACTTTCAAAATAAAAGACACATGGAAGTTTCCTACTGTTTAGGTAAACTAAATGTCATGGCCTGTGACTCCTCTTTGGCCAAGACCTTTAGGATACATGCTGCCATCTTTCTCCGTCCTTGTTATCGTGGCTAAATGATGCATGAACTCAATCCTGATTTTGTGATTGTGAAGGACCAGCTGCATGGATCACATTCGCAGCCGAAGTGAATCTGAAACAGCCCCAGTAGAAAGGTGGGCAGTGAAAAAGCAATTATTTGCATTTTTCACTGCTGGAGTTGTTTTAAAAACTCCAGAGTGGTAAAACCCAAACAGGCCCTGGATGTTTTTGGTCGATCTTGGTTGGGGTTTTGCGACAAAGGTTTGGAACTTGGGTTGCAATGTCTACTTCTCACAGCTTGGACAGGTAATGTCCTCAGATAGCTGGAGACAGATGGCCCATGTGTCAATAGGGGCCCCCAGACCACCAGGGGCCCCTAGAGGCCGACAAACTGAACCAAGTCAGAACCGCATCAGTAGTGAGACAGAACAGCTCTGCTGACCATCTCACACCCCTGATGGGGCCCCTCCTCTTCCCAACTGCTCAACCAGAGGTGGCTTCACACTTCCTGGTCTGCACCGGACGGCAAGTCTTTTTGGTTGGTGCTCCATGAAAACCTCGCCGCGCCACTGGCTGGAGACACGGAGCTCAGTCTAAGGATCCTAAGAGCACTTGTGCTCCCCAAAACCCAGTCTTTGCCAAAATATAAATGATTCATAGATGAGATTAATTTTTAACTTTAACAATGAATGTATTGATTTTGCTGTGTGAAGCAAAAAAAAACATGAATATACATTAAATTCATGTGGTGGCATCCATGATGCTTTAACTAAACCAACTTTTAATGAACTTAAACCGAAAAATGATTTTGTTTTCAGGGTAGATTAGTGGACACACATTAAGGTCTTAGATAGAATCCACACCAGAGTCTTCTTCCATAATAAGACATTATTACAAAGTCTAGTATGATGGACAATCGTAAAAATAATCCTTTTATGTCTGGATTTGAAATGTCACGGTGTGGTTTCAGATGTTTCTGAGTTAATTATTTCCAACAGTCACATAAAAGCACGTCTCTCACATCTTCGTCTGAGTGCTTCGACATGCTGGCCGGTAACAGTCCAGGCCTTAATTATCGTAGTAAAAAATTCAGGTCTAAAAAATCAAACTTGGCTGGTTAGCAACACTGGAAGCACTGCTTAAGGCTGGCTGTCTGCATTAGAGAAAACTCAGTCTTTATGTTTGAATGGGCCAACTGGCAGCAGAATTGTTACACCTCAACCTCTACGCCAGTTTTACCTGTTACGATGTATGAGGAGGCCGATCAAACATGGCGCTCGATGGCTGAATTCCAAAAGAGTTTAGCAAAATGTGAAACCCTGAAAAAGCTGAAAAAGGACAGAATCTGAAGAGAAAACATATGTTTTTCTATCACTTGGAGACTCAAATAAAACTGAATTCACTATAAATCACAACAAAGTCACTATTAATATCTGTGGCCATGGGACCCACTGAGGACGCGTCTACTGGAGTGCTCAGATATTCCACTTCTTCAGCAGTAAATACCCCTCCGCCCTGACAACACAGAAAAGGGAACCTGATCGTGTCTTTTGCACGTTTCTAAACGGGATGAGAGGGAATGTGAAGGTTTTTCGTAAATCAAATACAATCTTTAATCCTAGTTGAGGAGGAGACCGTTGTATGACGGGACTGTGACATTACTGAAACTTCTAGACATGATCTAACGTTACTGTATTATGTGATAAAGAGTGACATTATACAGGACTTGGTGGCCATTGTTCCACGCGTAGAGTGCTCTGTCTCTTGGGTTGTAGTCAAGCATGGACAGATGGCTGTATTTATTAGTCAGAGGGATGTCGATGTATTCGTACGTAGACGAGTTGGTGGAGTAAGCGTAGTACACTTTGGTTCCTCCCGAGTAACCGTTGGTGACATATAACGTTCCACAGATCATGAAGGACTCGCCGGCGCTGCGTTTCGGGTGGTTGGTGGTCCAGCTGCGGATGATTTGGAGCGTGTTTGGGTTTAATTTGCTGAGGACAATGTTACCTGCATTTTGATTGGTAGCGTACACAGCCCAAAGTCCCCCCTCATCTACCATGAGGTCAATATCTGAGTGACCCCCCCACGAGTAATGATACATGTTGTTGTAACCAGCAAAGTCGAGCTGCCGGGAGCGACTGATGAGTGAAGTGCTGAAGTCGAACTTGATGATGGTGTGACTCTGGAATTTGTTAAAGTAAATAGATCCATTATAAATGACTTGACCGGTACCGGACCACGGGTGAGGCAGACGATGAGAGGTGAAGTTGTCTGTTGTCATGAAGTCTTCCATCGACTGGTATTCCCTGACAAAGCGATTGTTGTGGTAACCATCCATGTACCAAACCTGTATGAAAGACAAACAAGTGCATTATTTACTCCCGTAGCGGCAGGTTCCATAGCCACATTTCCACTATGAGAGAGGAACGTGAACTCGGTCCTCTCAAAACTCAGCCCCTTCAGGACATTTAACACGTCAGCATAAAACAACCATTTTGAAAGTGAGTGATGTCAAATATGCGTGGGCCGCATACTTGACACCCCTGCTTTATAGGGTAGGACCTCATTGAAGTAGGTGTTACTTTTGAAAATTGTAACAACAGAAATACACTTTGGTAATTTACCTTAATATTTATTTTCTTGCAGAAAATCAGAGAAAACAAAGTGACCAAATATGGACGTTGGCCATGTTCTGGCAAAATAAATCCCAAAATAAAATGCATGAATAAGTTAAATAAACATTATTTTTGAACAGTACGGATAATTTTAATACACTTTAGAATAATCTAGCTAATTTTAGAACATTACATCACTGTTCAAAAATACAGAATATGTCACAGTTATTAAACAATGCAGTATATTTTTATAAAAACTGTAGAATATTTGTGAAAAGTTGTTGAACAATAGATACAATTTCTTATCAAATACAGATTATTATAATATTTTAGAATATTTTATATTTGATGATTTGCCTCATTATCATCTTCTTCCTGTTCATCATCATCAGTGATGGCGAGCTTGGTTGACGCAACAACTGTCCTCCATTTTCCATAGAAATCTTAGTTTTAAACTGCTAAATATATTAAGTATTGTAATTGTTATTATCACTGTAACCATAAATATTAAGATTATGTCTAAAAAAACAACAAATTTGACCTAAATTTGTTCATATTTCAGTCTGCCTTCAGACCACACCATAGCACGGAGCCTGCTTTGATTAGGGTGCTAAACGACATTCTGGTGGCATCCGACTCTGGGTCTAGGGTACTGCTGCTCCTGGTGGACCTTTCAGCGGCTTTTGATAGTCAATCACCATATTTTATTGGACCGGCTTGGGTCTTGGGTTGCGGTGACGGGGTGGCACATTAATGGTTCCGCTCCTACCTATCCAACCGGTCCATCTCTGTCCAGATTGGTGACTGTGCATCCTCCTGTCTCCCACTGCCTTGGGGGGTGCCACAAGGCTCCGTGCTGTTTTCTATCTACCTTCTGCCTCTGGGCAAAATCCTGAATCGGCATGGCCTGAGCTATCACATTTACGCTGATGACTGTCAATTATACGTAGCAATGGATGAGAAGAACGCGGACTCGCGATTGGCTGCATGTTTAAGTGACGTGAAGGGCTGGCTGGCATCCAATATCTGAAAGTTAAAGGAAAGGAAGACTGAGTCTATTTCTTTTGACCCCCGCAACCGCCATGGCTCTCACCCTGTTTGTGACCTTTTAACCCTCAACCCCAAACAGTGTGGTGTGACAAGTCTCGGGGTAAAGCTGGATGCTGAACTCAATAGCCCCACAGATAAACTCCGTAGTGAGGTCTTGCTTTTATCTGCTTCGTCTCCTGACTCGCCTCAGACAAATCTTGATGTGGAGGCATTTTGAGTCAGTCATCCATGCCTTCATTACCTCTCGCCTGGACTATGCAAACGCCCTCCTAGTTGGTGCTCCGGTCTCTGCCCTGAATCGGCCGCAGGTCGTCTTGACAAATACGCACCGACGTAACCGTATTACCCCTGTCCTGGCACATCTTCACTGGCTCCCTGTCATTTTCAGAGTACAGTTTAAGTTACTGACTTAAAGCACTCCACGACCTGGCACCTCCCTGTCTCTCTGACCTGCTCACTCCATGTGTACCCACGTGCACGTTGAGGTCGGCTGACCTCCTGCTGCTGTGCACGCCCCGGATGCGATAGAAATCACGGGTTGAGAGAGCATTCGTGCATGCTGCCCCAAAGCTGTGGAACTCGTTGCCCATTGGAGTTGGGCAGGCTCCATCATTGGCGGGTTTTAAATCTCGTTTAAAGACCCACTTCTACGATGTGGCTTTTAGTCAGTGACTTGTGTTAGTTTTTATTGTGTTCTTAGTATTCCTCATGTTTTATCTGCTTTTGATTGGTACTTTTATCTTCTGTTTTAGTTCCTTAGATTGGTCGTGTTTTGGTTTAGCCTGTGTAGCACTCTGGGCAGCTCCCATGCTGCGTTTTAAACATGCTACATAAATAAACTATGGTATGGTATGGTATAATTTATTTGACTTGTTCAGGGCGAATGTTGCTCATGCGATGATTTCACCAACTTCATTGAGTTTAACATTAACAACACATGTATCCTTATTTAGCACAACTAGTCAACCATGTGATGGGAGAGTTTCATAAACCTAGCATTGTTAGTTTTAGAGAACCGACCGTAAACACACGAGGAGACCGAGCAGTTTTCGGGCTCTGCAGACACGCCCATATTTGGTGCGTCATAACCCCGCACTGATTGGTGGAATAACTGCGACTAGCTTGATCTCTGATGATTGTTTGGGTGAAATCCCATAATTCTAAGAGTTCGTGAAAAGGCACAACGATGTTTAAATATAGACGTTGGCCCCGTAGAGGGGTAAAACATTCTTGGAGTTTAGTGCCCGGGAGGATTTCAGCACCACTTACTCAGAAGATTGTTTGAGATCATGTTTGATTATTTTCATGGTGTGTTTTTGATGGTGCTGATCAACAAACTTACTCTGTTGTCTCCAGCTGGAGCCAGCGGGTCAGTCATCCACGAGCCAAATCGAGACCCAGAGGTCTTAATGGTGACTGGTTCAGAGATTCCAGTCAATTTTCCACAGGCTGAAAAAAAAATGGTGACAGAAATGACAAAGTCTGAGGATTTAAATGTCTGAAAGATAGTAAGACACTTTGCTTTTAGAGAATCCATGACACTTTGTTGTGGTGGAAAGCAGCGGACCCTGGTGGGGGTGTAGGTGAGGGCCGTCAGGGGAGGGTGTCAGGGCTCCTGGCTGGTCTGCATCAGCGATGGCGGGCTGGGCTACAAGACGGTTCTATGCTGTGTTCCAAATAATTATGCAAATCACATTTTTCATAGACTTTTCCTTCTAATTGATGCAAATGACAGTCACGATTTCCTCCAAATGAAAACGGGGATTTTTATGTAAAACTTAAGATGACCTGTTTTAAAACATCACGCACATGAGAGGTAAACATATTTTATAGGCTGTAACCAATCGGAAACAGTTGTGTGTTGGTTTTGCAGCATTAAGGAGTCATATTTACATTTAGGTCATATTTAAGTAGCTGACCGGTGAGAGCGATTTTCCTCTGAAGTAAAGATTAGAGGAACGATCCCAACAGCCCGCATCCCAAAGCATCCATGGACGAGATACTGAGCCCTAAAAAGGAAGTCTGAACCTTCTCCCACTGCTACAGTGTGGATGTGAACAACCTCCCGCCTTCATAGATCTTCTGCTTGAGGATGTTCCGAAGATTCTCAGCATGGATGAAGGCAATGGAAGAATGGGAGCCCCACCATGAGTTTCTCTTCTTTTATACCCATCAGAGATGTAGAGCTCTTCTTTTTGTACCATGAAGAGAGTCCGCTGTCATTTTCACACTTTCAGGGAGCCTAAAGGGGTCGACCAGCTCCCTCCCCATGATTCTGGCCCAAATCATGATTCTGCCTCCACCTTATTGATGTTTCAGCCAATTCTATCTGGACCATCCAGGGCTGCAGCACTTATCTGTAAACAGGACCCTAGCTGTGCACTCTCACTCACTCACTCACTCACTCACTCACTCACTCACTCACTCACTCACTCACTCACTCACTCACGCACACTTTGGCTAATTTATCAGTGGTGTACATACCGAGTCTCTGCATGCAAGCTCGCAGACGGTCCTCCAGGTTCATCACTCTACCATGGAGCTCCTGGTAGTCAAGTCCACCCAGTTGCTCCTGCAGGGATTCCAGCAGCTCCGTCACATTTGCCGCCTCCTCTTTAAACTGTTGGACCAGCAGAGCATCTGCCTTGTAGGCCTCCAGAACTGGGATCAGGGGACGCAAGTCCTCCATCTTTGCTTTAATGGACTGAGACATGAGGGGAAAAAGCAGGAAAAAACACATTATTTATTAGGGATGTCCCACACGTGAATTGGCTTTTTATATCCTCAAAGAGAATTGAAATAAAGCACGTGTCCGTCTGCTAGGTGTCAGTTTGCCTGACGAAAGCGGCCCAGCAGGGCGTGCTTACAGCCCAGCTGATGGAGCCGAGTGTGGCTGGATGACCCGATCTGATATTTACGATCAGATCAGGACCTCCCGTTCAGAACAGTTTGTTGAGAGAATGTTGCAGATACATAAATTGACGTTGTTCGGGAACTGCAGACACGCGGTGAAGTAAGCTGCTAACTGACAGTGTTGGTGGCACCTTGTACTGCCTGGCGATGTTGCTTTCATGCCCATCTTCCACTTGTCTGAATTTGTTTTCCAGACTTTTCAGTTGAACCTCCATCTTCTCCACAAACTGCATATCTCTCTGAGTCCGCTGGTCCAGAACCTCAATGGACTGGCTCATGTTCTGCACCTGGACAACATGAACGTGTGTCAGCAGATGTTGTCACATGACTTCAACACGGGTACATCATTAAATCAGCCTGCGATGCACCCTCTCGTGTTGCAAGAGCTGCTAATGATGCTGAGGGCTACAATTTACTCCTCTTTTCCAATCAGCACGTCTAAACAACTCATGTGGGAGAATGAAACAGGGAGGAAGAAGTCCCTGACTTTAGTATGTCATGAGCCGGGGTGAGTACTCTTCTCATCTTCTCACCATCTCTGAGTGCTTGGTTTCAGGAGAGGGAGCAACAGCTGTTTCCAATCAGCTGATCAGCGGGCCGGTTTATAAGGAGGAAGGTGGACATGACTCGACGCCGGATGATTACCACTGACCGGTAGTTTATCTCTAGCTCTAGTTCTCTAGTGTGTTTTTCTCTCGTGACTTGGATTAATACTTTTATGGATTTACTCACCCCAGGTCTGGATTACCATCAGGATTTTTCCCGACGCCGTTTTGGATTATTCTCTGGTTCGTCTCCTGGTTCACCCTCCTCCAAGTGCCGACCCGATCTCCTCCACCTCTCGCTCCCTCTCCAGAACCACACCGGTCCGGATCCAATTTCACCATTCACCTCAACCGCTCTACATTCATTCCCTGGACTAACCCCGGCTCACCCCTCCCACACACGTCTCGTTTTTCTAAGCCGTAAGTCCCTCCGTCCTCAATTCCCCTACCATACTATTACTCCCATACTCACCTCTGCTCCTCTCCCCCCCCCCCCCCCCCCCCCCCCCAGACGCTGCTTCCCGTTTCTGCACCCGCTGGTTTTCCAGTGCGCCCTTAGTTCATCCTTTTTTTTTTCAATAATTTTTTTTTCATACCACCCGACTCTGACTCTGATTCTGCATGTCCTGTTAGACTCTTGCCCCACAACACGACATAGTACTGAGAGTAGATGCTGAGTTTGTTGTTAGTTCAGTCTCCCTGTTTGGCATTTCTACCTTCTCCAGAAGTTGTCGCAGCTGTTTAGTTCGCGCATCTCTGGAGCAAACGGTCTGCTGAGGAGCAACAACGGTGCAGACACATCGACCCTCAGCATCCTGGGCTGAACTGTACACCTGCCAGCCTTCCTCCGGGGTCGCAGGACCAACCTGAGAGTAAAGGTGAGGATCAGAAACTTCTCAGCAGTGAGGACGAAAGAGTGTTCCCTGAGGATTAAATTTCATTTAACTGTTTCAGATTAGACGTTAAATCTGAATAAAAGACCTTACCTGGGGCACTCCTGCCCACATCCCTTTACAGGACTTGAGACATTCAGATGCGCTACCCTCTGTCGTCTCGACTCAATTACAACACAATGACCTAGATCTGGGAAAGTGATCTGAACAGGTCCAAATGTTGTTTTAACACGTGGAGCCGCCATTACCTAATGACTCTAATCCTGAAACACCAGGACAACGAGACTCTTGATTTAGACATCTCTGTTTTCATCTTTAGCATCTTTGCTGGTTTCTGCCAAAACAACAGATTTGAATTCTTTACAGAAATAGCAGCTTGTGAAGGAGGAGGGATGGATGAGAAGATGTGTGAAAATCCCAGAATGTGTTAAAGATGTGTTAAAATTCTCATCGTTATGTAATTTCACACTTTTCACTCGTCTCCTATGATTAAGCCAATCAGACAATGATTTTATTTGATGCTTTTCTCTTTTTAAATGTTGGTTTTTATTAGTTGCTTCAGTTTTGTTCTCCAGCCTAATGCATCGTAATCCAACTCATAATCTGGACTATTACCGGATTTATTAGAATTGAGGTTTTTTATTTAGTTTCTAAGAGTTTCTGATTTTAAATCCGGTTTTGGTTCCCGATCAGGACAACAGAACAGAACCTTTACCCTAAAGGAAACATTCATGAAACCAGAACAGACCAAAACCCTAACCTCAGAACAAATGACTGGAGCTGAAAATGAGCAGTAAGGAAACCGAACCCTAACCCTAGGAGGGAGGAAGAGCAACAGAAATGAAGATGAAGAACTGTGTGAAGAACAGACTGAACGGTACCAGAGTGAAGTTGGATCCAAGCAGCAGAAGCAGCAGACAAACGTGGAGCAGGCTCTCCTCAGACTCCATTGGATCGTCCTGAAAACACAAACCAGCTGCTAACCAACTGATTACTAACCCGCTTTAATGGTTTTCTGCTTTCCTCCTCCTCCACCACCCTCTTTCTTGTTCCTCTGATTCAACGCCAAAAAACAGCCGAGTGGAGATCAAATCCTCCAGTGGGGAGGGGTACGGGGATGATGTCAGAGCCTGGCTGGTGAACAGAGCCGAGGAGGAAGAGGAGGAGCTGTCCGTGGTGCTGAGCTTTTCTTACCGTTTCCTGTTTCAGTCTTTGCAGGAAGCCATTTGGCCTCCAGCTGAAAATGTCGCCGCTTTACAAATTGTTCCTGATTTACTATTTACTGGGTGATGGCGTATTTAATTAATTACAAATAATCAATACCAACACATCCTTTGGAATAGAGAAAGGCTTGAGCTGCATTTGGGTTGGGTGTGTCAGGATTCCCTTCAATGAAACCTGAGAGTCAGATAACTGAGGTCATGAGACAAACGAGAAGCTGCTTTAGGCATCAGGATAAAACGATTTGTGTTCTGGGAAACAGCCTCGGGTTCGGGGAGTTCTCAGGGTTCTATAGAGCTTCATCTTCATTTAGGTCAGGCTTCAGGGTTTCTACACGACACGTTTCAGGTCAGCGTTTCCTCTCTGATACTTAACGACAGACTGGAATGAAATCAGCCAGCAGGAGGAGAGGCTGGGAACATCTTTAAATAAATCATCGTCCTCAACGGGTTGTCATAGAAACAACATCTCCATCTGCGGATCTGCAAGCACTACAGTATGTGTGTGTGTGTGTGTGTGTGTGTGTGTGTGTGTGTGTGTGTGTGTGTGTGTGTGTGTGTGTGTGTGTGTGTGTGTGTGTGTGCAATGGCACAATGGCTGTGCACAGCGTTCACACACTAGCTGAGCATTTTGGACAGAAACCAACATGGATGAGAAAATAACCATTTTGTTGCTGAGAAACGGAAAAAACGTGTTTCTGCTGCTTTGTCTCAGATGATGGATGGATAGATAGATAGATAGATAGATAGATAGATAGATAGATAGATAGATAGATAGATAGATAGATAGATAGATAGATAGATAGATAGATAGATAGATAGATAGATAGATAGATAGATAGATAGATAGATAGATAGATAGATAGATAGACTTGATGTGGGTTTAATTACCTGTAGAGACACCTGCTGGCTGGACTTTAGTATTTCAGGGTGAAGATGCTGAAACATGGCGGTGTATCCTAACTGGTTAAGCGACTCACCTGGATAAGTAACCACAAGGATTTATTCATCCCTCCAAAAGGGCTTCAGAAATCCACACAGCTGGACTAAAAAACCAGAGTAACCCGGTCATGGCCAGCTTCACCAGTATAGGGAGACAGAGCCATGCCTCTGTAGGTTAGGTTACTCCTGTCGGATGGAGAACTTAGGACCAGAGCCACCAGTGAACCAGGTTATAGATCCAGCGTTTGTATTCAGTTCTAGTAAAACGATTATGAAGGAGAGAAAATTAATTCTCCAGGTGATTAACTATAAAAATGTTCTTCTGATTTTTTTTATCAAACCTTTTCAGCAGCCTCACACTCGTCACACGTGCTTCATTTAGCCGACCAATCAGAGCAGCGGGACTCTATTTGTCATCCTGATCATTTCAGACAACTCGGTGTCTGGGTCTCACACACACACACACACACACACACACACACACACACACACACACACACACACACACACACTGCTGCTGCTTTGAACAATGGAGAGTGGAGATCATGTGACCTGAATTTCTATCAGAAGGATCAACATAAACGTTTAAAAGGCCAATAATGAAACAGTTCATTAGAATGTTGTTAGAACTTGTCATCAAACACGATCAGAGTGGCATCGGCAGAGATTCTGAGCCGGAATGAGGAGTTCGGTGTTTGATCTGACCCTCACCGACGGTTGTGATCTTTAGATAGGGGAGGAGCTCGGACATCCAGGACAACGGGAGAGGGGTCCCCTGCGGTAGTTTGGACAGGATGTCCTCGTGGACACCTCCCAGGGGAGGAGTTTCAACCACGTCCTGCCAGCAGGAGGCCAGCAATATGAGCCTTGCAGCTCCGCCCCCACCTAATCAAGCTGCCGTTACTTCTGCTTTCCTGTTTGTAGCTTAGAGGAGAGTTGGCTTCATCAAAACTGAGTAAAAATAACCAACATCAACATTACACTCAAACTGTACTTTATTTTGAAAGTCTGACACACAGGAAGCTGAAAAAGCATGATCTCATGATCATCAGATTCACATCTTGTAAAAAAACAAATAAAATAACTCAGTAGCTCACTAATAAAAGAAAAAGTTTCACGTTTTTAAAGTCAGCTAGTCTTTTTATCACCAAGTGGCAGATGGGCGGGGCCAAAACAAACTGTTCCTCAGGGGGCGTGGCTAATACGAGCATGTTTGGGGCAGAGCAACACTTACTAGATAGAAATCTTTTTACATACGGTCAAAAGTACAAAATTTAAAATGGCTGCTCCTAAAACGAGGTCCTGTGACATCACTGCAGCCTCACCACTGTGACATCACTAGTCTCACTGCTGACATCACTGCAGTCTCATCGCTGTGACATCACTACATCACTACAGTCTCACTGCTGACATCACTGCAGTCTCACCGCCATGACATCACTACAGTCTCACCGCTGTGACATCACTGCAGTCTCACCGCTGTGACATCACTGCAGTCTCACCGCCATGACATCACTACAGTCCCATCGCTGTGACATCACTAGTCTCACCGCTGTGACATCACTACAGTCTCACTGCTGACATCACTGCAGTCTCACCGCTATGACATCACTACAGTCTCATTGCTGTGACATCACTGCAGTCTCACTGCTGTGACATCAGTACAGTCTCACCGCTGTGACATCACTACAGTCTCACCGCTATGACATCACTACAGTCTCACTGCTGTGACATCACTGCAGTCTCACCGCTGTGACATCACTACAGTCTCACCGCTGTGACACTACAGTCTCACCGCTGTGACATCACTACAGTCCTACCGCTGTGACATCACTACAGTCTCACAGCTGTGACATCACTGCAGTCTCATCACTGTGACATCACTACAGTCTCACCGCTGTGACATCACTACATGACTAGTCTTACTGCTGACATCACTGCAATCTCACCGCTGTGACATCACTACAGTCTCATTGCTGTGACATCACTACATCACTACAGTCCCACTGCTGTGACATCACTACAGTCTCACCGCTGTGACATCACTGTAGTCTCATCGCTATGACATCACTACAGTCTCACTGCTGTGACATCACTGCAGTCTCATCGCTATGACATTACTACAGTCTCACCGCTGTGACCACTGCAGTCTCATCGCTATGACACCACTGCAGTCTCACCGCTGTGACATCACTACTGTCTCACCGCTGTGACACCACTGCAGTCTCATCGCTGTGACATCACTACAGTCTCATCGCTGTGACATCACTGCAGTCTCATCGCTGTGACATCACTACAGTCTCACTGCTGTGACATCACTGTAGTCTCATCGCTATGACATCACTACAGTCTCACTGCTGTGACATCACTGCAGTCTCATCACTATGACATCACTACAGTCTCACCGCTGTGACCACTGCAGTCTCATCGCTATGACACAACTGCAGTCTCACCGCTGTGACATCACTACTGTCTCACCGCTGTGACATCACTGCAGTCTCACCGCTGTGACACCACTGCAGTCTCAACTCTATGACATCACTACAGTCTCACCGCTGTGACATCACTGCAGTCTCATCGCTATGACATCACTGCCATAAGTTTTTACTGACTCAGCATTGACACAAGCAGCATCTCAGATCAGTTGGTATTTTAAATTAAATTGATTCAAATCAGGATCTATTTAAGTTACATTTAAATTCTAATTTTCATGAAAACATTCAGCAACATTCTGATGAAACATCAACCTAAAGAGCGTCTCTGGCTTCTTTGTGAATCTGCAGCAGGTTTCCTTCTATTAAAACCTTAAATTAGTCCAAATATCTTCTAGAAAGTCTGTCCAATAAGGAGCCATCTCCAGACCTCTTCTGATCTTTACATCCCTTCCAATAGTGAGACGTCCTCATCGGGCGATTGAGCTAGACCAGCCGACTATTCTGAACAAAGCCTAAAAGACAGAGGGGCAGAGGGAACAGAGGAAACAACAGGTAGACGTTAGAGCAGGCACAAGTGGAGGTTCATTAGACTATTTTTGTCTTCAGTCCCACAGGGACACCTAAACACGACCTCTTCACAAATTGATGATGCTATAGAAAACGTCCTTTTATGGGCGTTCGCTGGATTCTGTTGCTCCTGTAAAGAGAAAGGTGTAGTTACGCTGTTGTAGGCTTAGACTGCTGGGCAACATACTGGCTCATCCCCTTAGTTATGCTGTAGGACATACTGGCTCATCCCTTTAGTTACGCTGCTGTAGGACATACTTGCTCATCCTTTTAGTTATGCTGTAGGACATACTGGCTCATCCTTTTAGTTACGCTGCTGTAGGACATACCGGCTCATCCTTTTAGTTATGCTACTAAAGGACATGCTGGCTCATCCCTTTAGTTATGCTGCTGGAGAACATACTGGCTCATCCTTTTAGTTACGCTACTAAAGGGCATACTAGCTCATCCTTTTAGTTATGCTGTAGGACATACTGGCTCATCCCTTTAGTTACGCAACTAAAGGACATACTTGCTCATCCTTTTAGTTATGCTGTAGGACATACTGGCTCTTCCCTTTAGTTATGCTGCTGGAGGACATACTGGCTCATCCTTTTAGTTACGCTACTAAAGGGCATACTAGCTCATCCCTTTAGTTATGCAGCTGGAGGACATACTGGCTCATCCTTTTAGTTACGCTACTAAAGGGCATACTAGCTCATCCCTTTAGTTATGCAGCTGGAGGACATACTGGCTCATCCCTTTAGTAATGCGGCTGGAGGACATGCTGGCTCATCCCTTTAGTTATGCTGCTGGAGGACATACTGGCTCATCCCTTTAGTTATGCAACTAAAGGACATACTTGTTCATCCTTTTAGTTATGCTGTAGGACATACTGGCTCATCCTTTTAGTTATGCTGTAGGACATACTGGCTCATCCCTTTAGTTATGCAGCTGGAGGACATACTGGCTCATCCTTTTAGTTACGCTACTAAAGGGCATACTAGCTCATCCCTTTAGTTATGCAGCTGGAGGACATACTGGCTCATCCCTTTAGTAATGCGGCTGGAGGACATACTGGCTCATCCCTTTAGTTATGCTGCTGGAGGACATACTGGCTCATCCCTTTAGTAATGCGGCTGGAGGACATACTGGCTCATCCCTTTAGTTATGCTGCTGGAGGACATACTGGCTCATCCTTTTACTTACGCTACTAAAGGACATACTGGCTCATCCCTTTAGTTATGCTGCTGGAGGACATACTGGCTCATCCTTTTAGTTATGCTGTAGGACATACTGGCTCATCCCTTTAGTTATGCAACTAAAGGACATACTTGCTCATCCTTTTAGTTATGCTGTAGGACATACTGGCTCTTCCCTTTAGTTACGCAACTAAAGGACATACTTGCTCATCCTTTTAGTTATGCTGTAGGACATACTGGCTCATTCTTTTAGTTACGCTACTAAAGGACATACTGGCTCATCCCTTTAGTAATGCGGCTGGAGGACATGCTGGCTCATCCCTTTAGTTATGCTGCTGGAGGACATACTGGCTCATCCCTTTAGTTATGCTACTAAAAGACATACTTGTTCATCCTTTTAGTTATGCTGTAGGACATACTGGCTCATCCTTTTAGTTATGCTGTAGGACATACTGGCTCTTCCCTTTAGTTACGCAACTAAAGGACATACTTGCTCATCCTTTTAGTTATGCTGTAGGACATACTGGCTCATCCCTTTAGTTATGCAGCTGGAGGACATACTGGCTCATCCTTTTAGTTACGCTACTAAAGGGCATACTAGCTCATCCCTTTAGTTATGCAGCTGGAGGACATACTGGCTCATCCCTTTAGTAATGCGGCTGGAGGACATACTGGCTCATCCCTTTAGTTATGCTGCTGGAGGACATACTGGCTCATCCCTTTAGTAATGCGGCTGGAGGACATACTGGCTCATCCCTTTAGTTATGCTGCTGGAGGACATACTGGCTCATCCCTTTAGTTATGCTACTAAAAGACATACTTGTTCATCCTTTTAGTTATGCTGTAGGACATACTGGCTCATCCTTTTAGTTATGCTGTAGGACATACTGGCTCATCCCTTTAGTTATGCAACTAAAGGACATACTTGCTCATCCTTTTAGTTATGCTGTAGGACATACTGGCTCTTCCCTTTAGTTACGCAACTAAAGGACATACTTGCTCATCCTTTTAGTTATGCTGTAGGACATACTGGCTCTTCCCTTTAGTTATGCTGCTGGAGGACATACTGGCTCATCCTTTTACTTACGCTACTAAAGGACATACTGGCTCATCCCTTTAGTTATGCTGCTGGAGGACATACTGGCTCATCCTTTTAGTTATGCTGTAGGACATACTGGCTCATCCCTTTAGTTATGCAACTAAAGGACATACTTGCTCATCCTTTTAGTTATGCTGTAGGACATACTGGCTCTTCCCTTTAGTTACGCAACTAAAGGACATACTTGCTCATCCTTTTAGTTATGCTGTAGGACATACTGGCTCATCCTTTTAGTTACGCTACTAAAGGACATACTGGCTCATCCCTTTAGTAATGCGGCTGGAGGACATGCTGGCTCATCCCTTTAGTTATGCTGCTGGAGGACATACTGGCTCATCCCTTTAGTTATGCTACTAAAAGACATACTTGTTCATCCTTTTAGTTATGCTGTAGGACATACTGGCTCATCCTTTTAGTTATGCAACTAAAGGACATACTTGCTCATCCTTTTAGTTATGCTGTAGGACATACTGGCTCTTCCCTTTAGTTACGCAACTAAAGGACATACTTGCTCATCCTTTTAGTTATGCTGTAGGACATACTGGCTCTTCCCTTTAGTTATGCTGCTGGAGGACATACTGGCTCATCCTTTTAGTTACGCTACTAAAGGACATACTGGCTCATCCCTTTAGTTATGCTGCTGGAGGACATACTGGCTCATCCTTTTAGTTACGCTACTAAAGGGCATACTAGCTCATCCCTTTAGTTATGCTGCTGGAGGACATACTGGCTCATCCTTTTAGTTACGCTACTAAAGGGCATACTAGCTCATCCCTTTAGTTATGCTGCTGTAGGACATACTAGCTCATCCCTTTAGTTATGCAGCTGGAGGACATACTGGCTCATCCCTTTAGTAATGCAGCTGGAGGACATACTGGCTCATCCCTTTAGTAATGCGGCTGGAGGACATGCTGGCTCTTCCCTTTAGTTATGCTGCTGGAGGACATACTGGCTCATCCCTTTAGTAATGCAGCTGGAGGACATACTGGCTCATCCCTTTAGTAATGCAGCTGGAGGACATACTGGCTCATCCCTTTAGTAATGCGGCTGGAGGACATACTGGCTCATCCCTTTAGTAATGCGGCTGGAGGACATACTGGCTCATCCCTTTAGTAATGCGGCTGGAGGACATACTGGCTCATCCCTTTAGTAATGCAGCTGGAGGACATACTGGCTCATCCCTTTAGTAATGCAGCTGGAGGACATACTGGCTCATCCCTTTAGTAATGCAGCTGGAGGACATACTGGCTCATCCCTTTAGTAATGCAGCTGGAGGACATACTGGCTCATCCCTTTAGTAATGCAGCTGGAGGACATACTGGCTCTTCCCTTTAGTTATGCTGCTGGAGGACATACTGGCTCATCCCTTTAGTAATGCAGCTGGAGGACATACTGGCTCATCCCTTTAGTTATGCTGCTGGAGGACATACTGGCTCATCCCTTTAGTAATGCAGCTGGAGGACATACTGGCTCATCCCTTTAGTAATGCAGCTGGAGGACATACTGGCTCATCCCTTTAGTAATGCGGCTGGAGGACATACTGGCTCATCCCTTTAGTAATGCAGCTGGAGGACATACTGGCTCATCCCTTTAGTAATGCAGCTGGAGGACATACTGGCTCATCCCTTTAGTAATGCAGCTGGAGGACATACTGGCTCATCCCTTTAGTAATGCAGCTGGAGGACATACTGGCTCATCCCTTTAGTAATGCAGCTGGAGGACATACTGGCTCATCCCTTTAGTAATGCGGCTGGAGGACATACTGGCTCATCCCTTTAGTTATGCTGCTGTAGGACATACTGGCTCATCCCTTTAGTTATGCTGCTGTAGGACATACTGGCTCATCCCTTTAGTTATGCGGCTGGAGGACATACTGGCTCATGCCTTTAGTTATGCTGTTCTAGAGTCCAAGTTTGTCGTTATTGCTGTTGCTGTCCATTCATGTTGTTCTCTCTGGCCTCTACATCCTGGCTGTCCTCACACGGCTCCATCTGGAATCTCCTCTACTAAAGCTGAAGGGATGTTGCTCCTGCTTTAACATCCACTCACAAGGATGCACCAATACTTCTTCATGTGTCTTTGCTGGGGACAGGAATTATGTCCACATCATTAACAGTTTCCCAGCATCCCCAGTCGGTGTGTCAAGCAGACCCAGAGCTGTAGGAACACATGAACACCAGACAGGAAGTAGGAGTGGAGATGAGAACATTTCTGGAAGACAAGGAGGACGCCAGGATGTCGTAGGTCCAGACTCTTTGGACACAAGGTCTCTAGTGAGCCGGACAGAAGACATCTTTCATCTTAACTTAGGCTACATCTATTTTTATCCTACAGCTTACTCACATGTTAGAGCCTTTTGGACAACAACAACAACAACAATAATAATATTAATATAATAAATAACGAGCTAACTGGAGCCTCTCAGACGTCCTGCAGTGAATCCGTTCCTCCATCACCATTCAAAGGCACCAGGGATTATTTGAAGGTCGTCAGCAGATAAAGAAGACATTAAAGGTCATTACAGGTCTCACAGGTCAGATGTAGGTCACGGCACCTTTGGTGCTGCTGTCCAAGAAAATTTTGATGTAGGACGTAGGAACGTATCCTTCCTCTTCTAGATTCCTCCGAACTCTGGTCCAGCCATCCCCTTTGTCCTCCTCCACAACAGAAAGCAGTTCTCCCTCCACCATCGACAGAGTGCCTTCATTCTGACCTGCAGAGGGTCAGAAACCACAAGATCAGACGACAGAACCACACAGAACCCATTCAGAACCTTGTAGAACCACACACTTTGTGGGCTAAAGCATCTTAAGGGAGGTCAGAGGTTAGGTCAAACCCAACCTAAAAACACAGTTCGGAATCTAGTCTCTCACTTCTTTGTTTAAGTTTGAAGGCGACTGATTTTTAACCAGCAGTCGTGACTGAATGTGTTAAATCAGGTATTATAGCACCACCTAGAGGAGAGCATCTGTTACAGCAGGAGATCGTCAGTAACGTGTGGAGACCACATCACTGCCTCCACCTTTTGTCCAGAAGGTTCTATTGTCTGACCTGGACGGATGTGGGTCTGAAAGACCTCTGCTACTCACCTGAACTAGTCAGGTGTTTTCAATCATCCAGGTTAACAAGTGTTTACAAGTTTATAAAAAGTAAGACATTTATTTTCTAAACAATTAAAAACATGACAACTAGAAAACACTTTATGTGATGAATGAATCTAATGTGGGGTGTGATGATGTGTGAATGTGATGTCATCAGAACCCTCGTATCTGGAGGAACTGAGTTCTGAGTGGGAGGGTCTGCTATAACTATAGTGATGGTTCATAAAGCCATATCAGACGCAATCTGCCGAGTCTACGCATCCTTCGAAGACCCCCGTGGTAGATGCGGAATGTGTGGAAGTCCGTGGACCCCCAAAGGTACCGAAGTCCGTAGAAGAAACCGCAGTGCCGACTAGACCGGTCTCGAGATGTCTCCAGGTCACGACATGTCGTTATTTATATCTATGGAGGACTCTTAAGGAGTCGGAGCTGGTTCAGCTTTATTCTGCAGGAACCGCTTGCGGTCATCTGTAGCGTGCAAGAGGTTTTTGACAGCTCGTCAAAAGATGCGATGGGAGCAGAGGCTTCCTCCGACGGCCAGTCAGAGTTAACTGGATTCCTCAGGAAGTGATGCTGATTTAATAACGGCCATATTTTGGTTTACTGATGAATCAGAACTTGCCCTGTGAAGGGGTTTTGCCAACAACCTCAGATACACACCTCCCTCAGATATGAAGATGCAGGATTATGTGCTGTGACGTTAACTTTAACCTGGAGATATGGTGAGTGTGTCTTGTCCAGTCAGTGCGCTGATTAAATATATGGGTCATATATTCATTTCATCCTTATTAATCTTTCAATGTAATAATAATCATTTCAACTTCAGTAATTTAAGCACAGATTAATCAAAACATTTTGTTTAACCATATTGTCCATTTCATTCATAGGCGGAGATCCCGGGGGGACGGGGGGGGGACGCGTCCCCCCTCACACAAAGTTGTCCCCCCCACAAAAGTTATTGTAAACACATAAATGCTATCAGTAAACCTGTACTGTCTTCTAAAACCACAACGTAAAAGTTAGTCTGCAAATACAAAACAATGTGTTTTTAATTGTTGAGAAATTATAGCGCGCGCCCCCCCCACCCCACCCCACCCCCCCCTCCCTCGTTTCAGACGAGTATCCGGTACGGATAAAGCATTGTTGACGAGTACCAGCATGAAATGAGTAAAACTCGTAAATATCTGTAATCGTGCTGAAGGAAAATCCTCATTGGGTAACTGATTGTCTTCGCGCTCTGTGATTGGCCAGTCACATAGAGCACCCGCCCCTCCCTACACACAAAACTCTGCAGCCGGGAGCTCACACCTCAGTCCGCGTCCGGTACACGCACGCACGCACACACACACACACACACACACACACACACACACACACACACACACACACACACACACACACACACACACACACACACACACACACACACACACACACACACACACAGACAGTAACGGATCTCTGTGCTTGCTTCACTGTTCACGTTTCTTCAGTACTCCCTATGTTTTCTTCAGTTTGCTTCTTTTTAAAGTTACTTTAAAGTTATTTAAAGTAACTTTTTTCGTAACGTACGTGGTGCATTTGACAAGACAGAGCTGAAAACGGCTCATGCTGCGTCAGTCACTGCCTCCGCTCCGGTCAGGTTTTTTTCTCTCTCTCTCTCTCCTCTTCCTCAGGATCCACTCCCTCTTTCCTATTCACTCTCTCTCTTTCTTTACATTTTTTACTCACAATTGTCTATTTGTTGCTCATTTTAAATATATTTTAATCATTTTCTAAAGTCTTTGTTCTATTTTACATGTTTTGTTTTTGTGAAGCGCCCCGTGATTTTTATCTTGAGAGGCGCTATAGAAAAGATCTTTTCTTCTGTCTCTCTCTTAATTCATGCACTTAAATATTAATGTTCTGATTTAATGTTCTGATTTTACTGAAAAACTTGTTCTGTAATAGTTCCTTTACTATTGTGATCAAAAACATTTAATCTCATCTCTGAGGCTGCTCTGTAAATAGTTTTCAAATAAATAATACACATAGCAACTTCTGATCAGACTTAAAATAACGTATTGATGTAAACCACACCCACTTCCTGGTTAGGCCACGCCCACTCCAAGTACAGATACAGATAGTGGTGTACTCGCTCATCCCTAGAAGGCACCAGTTAAGACTTATGTCTCCAAATGGCCCGATACTGAAGAGGTCCCGCTGTGGGCGGACAACTGACCATTCCTGGAGGCTACACAAGTCACAAACAGAGACTCATGTTGTGCCACAACATCACTGACACCAGCCCAGCCCAACACAGTCCATCCATCCCTCCAGAACCCTACTGTGAAGCTTGAATGCTTTAGTTTGGGTTAGGAGATGATTTGTTGTTGTAAACGCTGCTAAAGCCTGCAGGGACGTACCTTGGAACGGGTAAAGAGACTTGCAGGTGCCAATACTCGGTAACGGTTCCTCGTCGTCAAACTCGTCGTCGAACTCTGAACTGCGGGACTTGAAGTGAAGCTCTGCATTGTGATCCTCGGTGTAACTGCCATCGGGGCTAAGAGGTCAGGGGTCAGAGACAAAGGAGTTCAGACGGAGCAGGAAAAAGATCCGAAGTCTGAGACGTCTCGAGCACCTCTCTCTACTGGCCGGGCTGCGCTTGTTCAGCTGTTTCAAGCTGCTGCTGCCTGGCGTTGTTGCTTGAGAATTCAACCCACAACCTCCACCCTGCCTCCTGCTGCTGTGATCAGACAGGCCACTGTCTGTCTCTGACAACCACACCTACGGCAACACAACAAACACACAAAGCTGCTCAGATGTGGACAGACTGAAGGTAATTATGTAATCTCACCATCATTTCATCTGAATTCTTGACGCTAAACATCAAACAAACCTGGATCCTTCTCAGCTCCTCCTCCATTTTCTGCAGGTTTTGCTTGACTTCCTCCAGCCGGGGCTCCAGGCTGCCCGCATCGCCCATCTGAGGACTTCGCTCGTAAACCTCCCTCATCTTCAGCAGAGCGTCTCTGAAGCACAGAGGGATTTACAGCCTTTACACACAACCAAGTCCTGGAACGTTGATTGTGTTCCTCGCTCAGAGAGCGAGAGCCAATCAACCCAGCATTCGCGAGCCATCGCTATGGCAACAATCTGATCCAGTCACAAGCAGAACCGGAACACTCTAGGCACCCTGACAGCAGAGGCTCTCTAGGACAGAGGGACTAGAACATCAAACTGGCTCAAATAATCCAGGCTTAATCCTAATCCTAGAGCGAACGCGGAACCTGTCCGGTAGCTTTACCGCTGTTCTTTCTCGCGCTGTATTTCCTGGTTGATGTTGTTGATTCGGATTTGAAGCTTCTTGCGCCGTTGCTCAGGAGGAAGGTGGCTGCAGTCTGCTGGGCTGGAGACCTGCAACAGTTCAGGCACGTTCACGAGGAGATTCCCCGCCAGCAGAAACATTCATCTGAACAGATACTGACCAGTTTTAGGGACAGCTGTCCAATCAGAAAGGAGAGCATGAACGAAACAGAACGTTTAATCACATTCGGTGTTTTAGGAGAAGCTCGGGTTAGGCTAGCCCCAACCAGCACAAAACATCAGTGAGAACATTTTAAACACTTTAAATCCACCAGTAAACCAGTAAAAAGTCACTTGTGTCTGTTGTTGCTTGGAGGGAGTCCCACCGTTGGTACGTGATCACTATGATTGAGTCTAGGGATGTAAGAAAATATCGATATGGCAATATATCGTGATATTTTTTTCCAGCAATAGTATATCGATATTCAAAAGCTGTGTATCGGAAATATCGATATGGCAATATATCGTGATTTTTTCCCTGTAATTATTACATCGATATTCAAAAGCCGTGTATCTAATTCTTGAAAGAATTTACATGCAAACATTTGTGTATTTTCTTTTCGTTTTGTGCAATTCAATCGCCACCCACTAGTTGGCAGCAGTGTGCAATGAGTTTTGTTTCCACCACTGAAATGTAAATCCCTCCCTCATGGTTCAGATACCTCATGTTAAACATGTTACGTATCAGTTTGGAATGTTTACTGAACATTCTTACAATAAATTCAGTAAAATAAATTGTTTGTAACGTCTGACTGAATGTATCGCAATATATCGTGATTTATCGTATCGTCTCCCCTGTATCGTGATGTGTATCGTATCGCCAGAATTTCAAAAATACACATCCCTGATTGAGTCCAAACGTTATATTTGATTAGAACGTCAAAACATTGACGCTCAACAGATTTTACTTAAATTACATCTAATTTTTGACGTCAGAGTTCAGTTGTTCTGTTGAATTTGAGCTTAAAAGATGTTTTCGTGTCTTGGTTTACAGAAATATTGTTTCAAGTCATTTAGAAACATGTTTATTGGATGAAACATCAGAAAAAGAATAAAAATATTCTTTATAAATATACATCTACCGTATTTTCCGGAGTATAAGTCGCTCCAGCCATAAAATGAATCATGAAGAAGAAAAAAACATATATAAACATATATAAGTCGCATTTTGGGGGGAAATTTTATTCTTTTTTTTACTAAATCTGAGACCAAGCGTTTCACATTGCAAGACAAGTACCGATAACAATAACAGAATAAAAAATCAGCTGTTGCAGCAGCGCGCCACGGTCTCCAGCAGAGGGTAGCGGTGTTTCAAACCCTCCCAGCGGGCGGGGAGAGCTCATTCCTGGGCCGGAGCCGGCCCGCAGCAGCACGGTATACATAATTTGGTATATAAGTCGCAGGACCAGCCAGACTATGAAAAAAAGTGTGACTTATATTCCGGAAAATACGGTAATATATAGACGTTTATATTTACAGTGTGTGAGTGTGTGTGTGTGTGTGTGTGTGTGTGTGTGTGTGTGTGTGTGTACCCCTCTCTTTATGCTGCGAAGACACTGCTTCCTGGTTTTTGAACTAGAGCTCATGAGGTCACTAAGCCGCTGTGTGATTGGCTCTCTGGAGGATGTGGGTGGGGAGTGGGGACTGTTGACCGCGGCCCCAGGTGAAGGTGAGGTTGGGGGTGGAGGCGGAGGCTGCCGAGGGGAGGACAAGAGGTTCAAAAGCTGCAAAGAGACAAAACAAGGCTCCAGGTGAAACGGTTGAATTGTCCAGGTGCATTTGTCTTTGCGTGGGACGTGGGCAGGGACGGGGACGGAGCTGAGCTCACCTTGTTTTTGCGTAAGAAGGGCCACAGCTTCCTGCTGTGTCTCCGCCCCTCAGCTCTGTTGTTGAGGTAGCTAGATTCAGAGATGCTCCGCCTCATGGTGGCGCTGTAATCTTCAAATTCAATGTCGCCTGGAGGGTCGAAGCCCGTTTTGTACACATCCACCACGTGGCGAGTGTCCTAACAGCAGGTGACACAAGACTTTTCACATTTTAAAGCAACTTTCTGTCCTTCATCCCAAAACTGGGTGGTTTTAGTGTCGTAATGGATGATATTACATTCTGAAATGACAGAGCCACAACGTTCTTGAAGTCTGTCTTAGATTAAAGGCACACCATCATTGTACATGAGCATTTCCAGGATCATTACAGACACAGAGAGCATGTGTCTGTGCTGCTACAGCAACAGCTGGAGTCACTCTGAGGAGAGAAGGCAAACTAAACAAAAATGTGATATTTTGATTTTAAACCAATCACAGACGTCTGCATCTCACTCACACATCCGTCGGAGAAGAACGCAGCGAAGAGGAGACTCACCTTTCTGGGTTGGATGCTCTCAGCGGCGTCCATCATTGCATCCAAACAGTGACTGAGGACAGGATAAACTTTTCTCTCTGCCTCTGCAGACAAACGCATCGCTTCGCTGACTCTCTCGATACGCCGCTCCTCCATGTCCTGAATCCGCTGTACAAACAGATTTAATCTGAAAGCTCTATACCGATGTCTCAATGTGGAAGAATGAAGAAAGAATGACATCCTGTGGTCAAATGTGGGTACTGCAGTCCATTTGTGTTTAAAAAAGAAGTTGCTCTCTCACTCCTGTTCTGAGTTTCATGGCTGTTGTCAGTTAAGGCTCAGCGCCAGAAGATTCTAGACGACGAACAAAGACGAGTCAATAAAATTTTCATATCTGGTGTTAGTACTCTTGGGTGTATTATGGTAGGGAGCACTTACTACACTTATTACGGTAGTATGCCTCCAGCAGTAGCTGTTTGTTGGCTACAGAAGCACATTTATAAACAGAAGCGTGAAGTCGACATCTTAAAAAAAACAGAGCAACAGACTTTTTGTGTGATATGCTTGTCAGCCACTAGATGGTGCCATCGGATAAGAGAGCTACTCCGGAAAGAAGCTTTAACCCTCCCACTGTCTTTATGGGTGACCTCGCGAGGAAAGTTGACCATTGAGCAGGATTGATGGTTTATCACTTGAGGTCCACGTGGCAGGGGTGAGGTGGTGCTCATTCCTCCCATCACACCACGATGGACTCTTTATTGACATCACACTATTTCATTATAATATCGAGCTGTTGGTGATTGAAAAAGTAGATTTTTAAAAAATTTTTTAGAGCTGACTACTTGCTTCTAATTCATCGTTAGCATTGTTAGCTCAATGTTAGCTTAATATTAGCCTCCAACCTGGTTTACCTGATATTAGAGTAAAACAAAACGATGCCGTGGCTTCTTAGGGGTACAAGAAATAACTTCTGGGTCGCTCCTGTTTAACGGCTTCAGTTCTTTAAACAACTCTGGAGCTTTTCGCCAACCGGTGTCGAATTACTTTACTAAATGCGACGGGTGATTGGGTGAAGATGAAACCAGCGACAACGATTTAAGTGTGAGGCATCATCGTTTTATTCTGCTCCAGCAGCTAAATAAACTGTTTAAGATAACGTTAGCTTGATATGTTAGCTTCCATTGCCACCAGTGTTATCAGCTAATGGTGCATTCGCTTTCTCCTCGGAAATTCTAACTTCCCAGTAGGAAAAATCAAATGAAAAAAGACGGCAAAAGGAATGAAGATACACAGTAAATTTAGTTCACAGTAAAGATGTTTGCTTCAGTTTAATTATCAGCTTATAAAACTACAAGGACGATGTTAAAATACAAACAGTTGAATGTTATTTATCGTGAAATTTATCAAATATGGTTATATATTGAGAAAAATATATATTTAATTCTAAAAGACAATTTAAATATTAAACACTCAAAAGTATCTAAAATTGGTACCGTTAAGTACCGGTATCGATTCCTAGGTACCGGGAATTAGTACCGAATCTATTCAAACGTCAAAGGTGCCCATCCCTACTGAAGGGCCCTTCAACAGGAGCCTGGGACCGCTGACCTTCAACAGTCGCTCTTTTACTCTGAGTCATGGCCGCCCAAACCCATTACTTCTGCTGGCAGCACTGCTATAGCTGGTATTGGTTTACCTGGTATATAACGGGTACCAGTGTGTGGTAGTGCTGGTGTTGGTCCTGATTAAACTGGTTTAAACTGGTCACATAGTCTTTCCTGGACTCCTCAGCAGCTTGCTGTTTCTGCTGTGCTGTCTGGCGAGTCTGAAATGAACCAGCCAACCAAAACACATCAACAGTTCTGCACCAAAACATCTGGAGTTGGTTGGAAACACCAAACCTACCTTAATGGAGCAGCGCTGAGACACAAACACAGAGACAGAGACACAGATCAGATTCTGTCATCACACAGAGTTAGCACAGCTGCTCCAGATGTTCAGTGATTTGTGTGACCAACCTTCTCTCCGTCCGTCTTTTCCACATCAATCCTGTCTGAGATGTGCTGAGCTCGCTCCGCCTCCTTACAATCTCGCTCATAGCGGCGTTTGCTCTGAACAAAAACAAAAAATGATCTAACGAGGTGGGCGGAGCCAGTTATGCTAGCTCAAGCAGGAGGATGGTGGGTGTGGCCAGTGTGAGTGCGTGTGGCCAGTTGACTACTTACAGATTCCAGCTGTTTCCAGGAGCTCTCTATGTGTTGCTGAGCACGGCGACCATCTTGGAAATGCTGGAATGAAAACAAAATCAATCAAATCAAATCAAAGATACTTTATTAATCCCAGAGGGAAATTAGAGTTTCAGTACACACAATTCAGAGATCAGACATACATGGGCAAGCCACATGACAAGAATTGGTGACTGTGGTCATTTGCAACCCGAGTCGCGCTACCTTAACAGAGATCAAGAGGGTTACATGAGGATTGGTTCAGGTGGAGGGAAAAAAGGCACTTCAGAGTTACCCTCCAGCAGGAGGGCAGCTTTGCTCTGCAAAAAACACCTCAGACAGATATGCAACAGACTTCAGACAACACAACATAAGTGTCCACTAGGTGGGGTGGTGGGTTGGGACTATCCCCACTTCAGTTCCTGCAGCCACGATAAGCAGCGCATGTCACATCAGTGTGGATAGGGGGAGGAGCATTGAGGGTTGGAGGGTTGCAGTGACCCTGGAACGTTTCAGCGACCTTCCCGCAGTCCCGCCCAGGCTGGGAAAGGAGACAGAGTTGAGTTGCCATAGCGACGGCACATTCCACATATCTTCTGAGGGGGGAGTTTTCGTTGGAGCCTTGCAGGCTCAAGGGCGCCAGATTTAGATTAGAAATTGTTTTGGGGCCAGACAGAGATAATTTCCTCTCTGTCTTACAGTTTGTTGGTCCTCAACCTCTCCGAATCCAAATAGTAATGGACATTAATCTGTCCCAATCCGTGCTGATTCGACCACTCTCTCCTTGATAGCATCCATCTTTGTGCCAATGAATGAATCTCGGCCAAAGTCCCAAGCTTACGATTCATCTCGACAATTATGAGTCTGTGAATTCACAGCGCAGTGCAAACCATCCCTGAGCTCCGGGATCAGGCCAGTATTCCTCCACAGCTCGTTAATTTTCCGGTAAGCCAGGTAGCCTCCAAGGCCAATGAGCAGGAAACCCGACACCAACACCACGAATATCCACACGTCTTCAGAGTCCTCCACAGACAGCTGGTCTGTGCCAGAGGGGCATCCGGGAGCCCCTTCTCCCGTTCTCATCGTTGAAAAATTTTATCAACCGCGTTGAGAGACCAACTGACCAGAAAAATGCAGAAGCAGCCGTGCACCCAGCACACACAGACAGACAAAGGCCTTGAGGATAAGATATGGAGGAGAGGAGAAGAAAAGCTTCGGCACCCTCCAAGAGCCAGAAGAAGAAATGAAAAAAAAGCAGCCAACGTTCATCAGAGGTTTGGTAGAACTGGTCTGGAAGTCCAGATTCAGTCGAGAGCTTTTCTGTCTATTTGAGAACCGGGTCTGCAGACCAGAATGACTCCGATACAAGATGGTGGACAGAAACCAGGCTGACCCAGCAGACAGAGAAGTCCTACGTCCAGGTTTTGTCTGACCGCTGAGGAAGTGACTCATCTATCCAGGTTTGGCCTGATCGGTTGGTTGATGGATAGTTTAACCTTAGAAAGGGTTAGATGGAGGTGGAGTTCCTTCATCAAGTTCTCTGAGACACAAGGTGAGATTCACTGTGACCCAAAGTCACCTGCTAAGGAGGTTGAGACTGGTTGATATTATCCTCAGAGATACCAGGAACCATAAGGAGAACTTCAGCCTGAAGCAGCAGATGAACACTGCAGAGAAAGGAGAACCACAGCCGAGCTTGGGATGAAAGATGAGTGTCCCGTAGCTGAGCTCCATCTCAGAGAGGACAGAAATGGGGATGTGCAGGTAGACGCCCACCAAGATCATTTCTAGGGTTATGGTCTCTGTGAGAGACACCTGAATTGTTTAAAAGCCCGCTCGATGGTTGCCAGATAAAGACCTGAGCCTGGAACACGGAGGTTCATTTTAACTGAGCTCCAAAACAGATCTTCTGTGGATCTTTCATGGTTTGGGGGTTTAAAGGTAAATGTGACCTTTGATGAAGTGATGAAGGAAATCACTCCAAAGGATTGTGGAGACCGCCCAGCAGCAGCTGTCGTTTGACTTCTCTGGATGAACTTCGCAACTTTCGCTGCCCCAGGAGAGCGGAAAGCACCCTAAAAGATCCCTCACACCCCGCTCAGGATTTGTTCCAACTACTGCCATCAGGCAAAAGATACAGGAGCCTCAAAACGAGGACAAAAAGACTACACAGCAGCTTTTATCATGGGCTATCAGGGCACTGAATGGCAATTAACACCCCCACCCCCACCCCACATTCTTCTCAATCCAACTTTATGTGCAATATATAAATAAACTGGTGCAATATTATTATATATATATATTGTTAGCTTCTCTTTCACACATAGTCAGTGCGAAATGATTCAAGTGCAGAGGTTCATGTGCAGTACTGCTCTCCAATTTAATTCTATTTTATACATATTTTTTAGATTCTTTTTATCTTTTTATATATTTTTTAATTATTTGTTTATCCCATTTAAATTCAATTTTGGACATGGGGATTGCATCTAATTTAGTTGTACTTGTTGCAATGACAATAAAGGTTATTGTAGCGTCATGAATGTCCTGTTTTTGACCTAAAGGTCATGATCTGCTGCGTCTGCTCGAGCGGAGACATAAAGTCTCTGACAGCCTAATCTACATGAGATAGTGGCCAAGGTCTTTCATGCACTCTGCTCATCTGAACTGCTTCACCTCTGTTACAGCGAAGACTAAGAACTCTTGTGATAAACACATGATCAATAACTTTGTTATTACCATTAATAATGCGAGCCCAATGTTCAATCAGTCTGTGAAATGACAATGTTAGTACTTGAGATTATAATCCTGTGATCAGTAGTATTTTACAAGTTATTATAATCCTGGACATTTGCACTAGGCACTAAAGACACGTAATGCTAAAGTCACATGACACATTTCCTTTTGTCTGATCCAATCAGAACCTTCGTTTCTGGCTGGGCGTGGTTTTCTGTGGTGTTTGTATAAACCCTCTTTTTCATGTCAAATTCTGATTCGACAGTAAACCAAAATATGACAATTATAAAAACTATCCCACGCCACCTTTTCTTTAGTTCAAGCGTTCTAGAGAAGTCTCGGACCGGCCATCCGGACTTCCTCTTCAGCCATAAAGAACCTCGACAAGCTGGATAAAATCTGTTGCAAGTTACACCTGACCGCAACGGTTCCTTCAGAATAAAAGCTGAACCTCACAACCCCTTCAGGGTCTCGGAGACGCCAGTGATAACCTGTCGTGACCTGGAAGCATTCCAAGACTCGACTGGTCGGCACCGCTGCTTTTCTACCGGCTTCGGTACCAAAGAGGGTCCAAGACGACCTCGGCATTCTGGATCTAACGGAGGCTTCCCCTGGGGTACGTAGACCGACAGATGGCGTCTGATGTGTGTTATAAATCTCCGACTAAAGCTTAGAGTGAAACATTCACTCCCACTCAGAACTAAATGCTTCTCCGGATCCGCTGGTTCTGAATAACACTCCACACACACCACCATCATATCACGTGTCACTCCACCTTCGTCCATCAGTACACAGAGTGTTAAAGTTAGTCTTGTTTAAATTGTGTAGAAATAAATTTCTTAACTATTATAAACCTGACTCTCTTTCCTCGGAGTTAATATGAAGTGTCGCTTAATCCCTGCAATAAAAAGTTCTGATCTTCTGGTTAAAATAGTCAAAGATCCATCAGATTGATATTTCATTTTTCGATGGAATCTCACATTTTATGGTTCATAAGTTTGATGTAAACGACCCATCCTTTACATTATTCTATTCTATTCTATTCTATTCAGTGAAACTGTATTTGTGCCTTTGGGTAGCAGCGTGTTATCAGGTGTGATCACTGTAGGGTGTGAGTAGAGCTTTAACCAACAAATCTCAGGTGACAGACTCACGGTCTTCCTCTCGGTCTTCAGCTCCTGCGTGTACCGCGCCAGCTCGCAGACGATCTGGGAGTTCAGGTTTTCGGCCAGATCTTCCTTCTGAGCTGCCAGTTCATTCAGCTGTTGCAGAGTGGCTGCAAAGGCCAAACACCAGGTGTACCTGAAGAAACCCGTCACAGTCAACGGCCAGCTCAGTGAACATGCTCACACCAAGGTTGGGCGACTGGACAACCTAATCAACACTCCAAGCTCCTCATTGGTGGTTATTCTATGCCTTAAATTAGTGTTGTGGATGGGATGTGACCCACTTTGATGTCAAATCAGCGTCTTTCTTGCATCGCTCTTTCTACATGCATGTTTTATGTCATCAGAAAGCTGGGATTGTGATTGGAATGATACACGGCAATCAAGGTGCAACCACAACACAGGAAACCCTTTTTTCATCTCAGAAATGATAAATAATGTTCAACTCGCATTTTGCATCATGTTCCTGCCACACCTGAGTCATCTCAAGCAAAAACAGAACTTTTGACATCCAATGAAATAGTTGGTCCACAATCCAACACATATTACTGCTGAAAACGTTGGAAATTTGGTTCAGACGGATCTCTTTCTCACCACAGCCTCAGTAAGCAGCGTCATTAGGGGTAGACCTGGGCTGATATTTATTGTTAATTATACATCGGCTAATAATTGTCCTTAGTAAAGCTGATTTAAAATCAGGCACATCCTCGGGCAGCCCGGTGCAGTTTATTTAATGAAAGAGTTTTTTACGTTCACTAATAACATCTGCATAACAAAGAAATCTAAATTAACTTTATTTATGTGTCTGACTTTAACACAGAACGGTTAAGGTTTAACATTTAGTTAAATTCAGAGTTCAAACACTGATTCAGCTATACTGATAACTAGGGATGGGCACCTTTGACATTTGAATCGATTCGGTACTAATTCCCGGTACCTAGGAATCGATACCGGTACTTAACGGTACCAATTTTAGATACTTTTGAGTGTTTAATATTTAAATTGTCTTTTATATTTTTCTCAATATATAACAATATTTGATAAATATCATGATAAATAACATACAACTGTTTGTATTTTAACATCGTCCTTGTAGTTTTATAAGCTGATAATTAAACTGAAGCAAACATCTTTACTGTGAACTAAATTTCCTGTGTATCTTCATTCCTTTTACCGTCTTTTTTCATTTGATTTTTCCTACTGGGAAGTTAGAATTTCCAAGGAGAAAGCGAACGCACCATTAGCTGATAACAACGGTGGCAATGGAAGCTAACATATCAAGCTAACGTTATCTTAAACAGTTTATTTAGCTGCTGGAGCAGATTAAAACGATGATGCCTCACACTTAGATCGTTGTCGCTGGTTTCATCTTCACCCAATCACCCGTCGCATTTAGTAAAGTGAAGCCGAACTTTAGAGCGCGTTCATGTTCTTCTAGTCGGAAATTCAGAGTTCCGAGGAGAAAGCGAACGCATCATTAGCGGAACGGAAGCTAACATATCAAGCTAACGTTATCTTAAACATTTTATTTACCTACCGGAGCAGATTAAGATGAGGATGTCTCACTTAGATCGTTGACGCTGGTTTCATCATCACCCAGTTACCCATCACATTTAGTGAAGTGGACCCAAGCTTTAGCGTGCGTTCTTTCTACCATGCTGCTCTGTTTACAACTGGCTCGCAGCGACTGACGACATTACGCTCTTGCGCATGCGCAGCTGTCTAGGCAAGTTCTCGTTATGAAGGACGGGTACCGAAACGAGGCACCGTTTCAAATGACGTGAATCAGTGCTCAGTCGGTACTGTGGAATTCGGTCGGTACCTTAAAAAGTACCGAATTCAGTACCCATCGCTACTGATAACTGATGTCATCAGGGACATTTTAACATGAAAATATGGTGGAAAACGTCAAGATATCGGTCATGAAAATCAGCCCTTAAAAATCGGCATTACATATCGGTCATCGGCTGATCATGTCTCCCTAGATATCGGCATCGGTATCTGCTACAGAAAAACCAATATCAGTCAACCTCTAACTGTCATATTAGATTTAAGCCTTTGCTCAGCATCCTAGCAGATCCAAAAGGTGACAGGGTTAGGGTACGATCACGTCCCCAGCCAGAATGGTTACGGAGATTTTCCCTTAAATAAAAAAAGTCATCGTTAACGGGCTCGTGTGTTAGGGGTCTTTAGGGTCTGAAGGCTGTTGGAGCAGGGGTGCACATAATATTTTTGGG